TTATGGACGCCTAGTTGTATATCACATTTGATTATCGTATATATAACACAAATTTTCATGTATATACATAGATACACATAATATACATGAGATATCACTGATGTACATAGAGATATACACGAGTTACAATAAGGGATACACATGTGGAGTCGTCTTGAACTTGAGTTTCCAATCTGAAATGTTTTATACAAAGAAGGAAAATAAAATTTTAATAATTTTTTTTGATATACACATTATTATTAGGTTATACACTGTGATATACAAATAATATAACTATTAATTAGTGATTAAAAAGGAAAATAAATTTCTGGTATAGCATGTTTAAGCAAGTTCTGAAATATAAAAATAATAAATATGATTGTGGGAGTAAATAATATTTTAGTATATAAAGAAAATTAATTTTTGATGTACACAAAGAAGAAAAATAAACTTATGATATCTATTTTGGTATACATATGTCCGATGTGCTATACGCTGTGATATACAAATAATACAATAATTTTATTGTGATATATATTGATGTAAAGGCATCAATATCTATATACATAATTTTATATTGTTGATATACAAAAAATAATATTATTTATATACAAAGAATGAATATAAAATTTTAATATACATGTTGGTATAGACTTTAGACAAAGAAGAAAAAAAGTTGTGATATACGTATTATTATTGTGATATATATATTTCTTGGCTATTTGATGTCATTATCTATAACAAGGGCTATTTTCTGCCAACTATATGAGTATGTTGTTATACTATGCCAAAACCCCTTGGAAAATTGAATATAACACATGCAAAAGTGGCTATCTAATACAAATCCTGGTATTGGCCCAGGCCCAAGAGAATGATGTTAATGTGATCTACCTAACGTGAAGTTTTAAGTTTTTCCTTAAACAGGTTGCCGAAAAATTGCACAGCACATTTATCGAAAAAAGGATTGCACCAGCCGGGAAGCAGGGTACTATTCTACCACTAGACCACTGGTGCGGCTTGATGCTTAATTAACATGATGAAAAATTAATGCTAGGTTCCATGACAAAAAGAAAAAAATGCCATCAAGTAATATAATACTCCCTTCTTTTTGTTTGAAAATTTTACCTCCTATACCAAAGGTTTACACCCTATTTATTATAAATCAAAATTCTTTGAAAATATTATATTCTATAGCTACCTTTTATTTTTTATAGCAAAATAGGTATTTATGGTATACACTACCGCTAAGGCATTAAATACGCTATGTACCATTTTTCTCTCTCATTCTTTCAGTTATTAACTCCCAAAATCATATCAAAATACTTCTTCTTTCTCTCTCCACGATCTCTCTTTCACAGCAAGGTCGTATTCGCGATTGTTGAAGCACGATTCTCGCACAACACGATTCTCTCTCTCACTTTTAACGTTTTTGCTCCAAAATTTGTGGTAAGTGTTAAAGTTTTTGAGTTTTTGGCCGGTTCAAGCTTCTTCTTTTTCTCCTCACTTTTTTTTTTCAAATCTTCACCACTATTAGGTTTTCAGCAGAAAACATCAAATTTCCTCTTCCATGGCTGATTCAACAACCCCAAAGAGGGTTACACGAGGTATACCCACTAAGGCACTCAATATTGGTAGGCCATCTTTCAATTTTTAAATCACTTAAGAGAAACATGTATTTGCAGGTTCATCAGCAATCATTGAAGCCGAAAGGCGAAATAAAATAGCCAGTGATCCTATGAAGGTCAAGATGAGATATCTTTGAAAAAATCAACACTTCCAGATGTGGAAAAGAGAAGAAAAATTATCGATGATGCTTTTGGAGCAAGGAAAAAGAGGTCGCTAAAGGAAGTAGCTCAGAAACACCAAAGGACAAGGTAATTGTAAATGTATTTATATGTATTTTAGTCTGCATACACTGATTTTTAGTTTGTATAGTGATTTTATCTTGTTGTTTTTAGATGTATTTATATGTATTTGAGTTCATAAAATAGTAATTTAAATACACCAACAATTTGTGTCATTATTGTCATAACTCACAGTTGTTGTTTTTGTAATTATCAATGTAGTTTGATGTATTCATGAATGAGTTATGTATCATGTATTTCGTATATACATGTATTTATAATGTTTTGAACTCATAAACAACCTACACCAAAAATAATTAAGGTAATGTATCAACCTAACTGTATTCATCTGTATTTTCAAGCATATATTTATCTTTTTTGTTGTGTTTGTATACAGGAAATAACATTCTTTGTAAAACACCAGCCTATTTTATCGCCGCATATCAGTTCCTACACTAACACCGACATAATCTCCAACCTCAAGGAAAAGCTTAGTCCAGAGCAGTACAAACTATTTGGTACTACCAGTTTTGGAGGATTCCTTGGTTTGAAGCACTGTGAGGTTCAACATCAGTTGTTCAGGTGCCACTACAAGAAATTGGATAATTAGTGGCGACATTTAGCAGCAACCCAAAAAGTTGCTACAAAATGTATATTATCAGCAGCGACTTTAAAAGTCGCCAAAATTTGAATATATTTAGCAGCGACTATTTATGGGTCGCCTCTAAGTGACTAAAATTTTCACTCCCGCTAAAACTAAAATTTTGGCTCCATATTTATTGTGGCGACTATTGTGAAGTCGCCGCTAAATATTAATTGCAGCAACCGGGTCGCTCCTATTACCTTTTAAAATAACAAAAGAAGCTAATTAAGTAAACTAAAAATTAAAATAACAAAGAAACACTAAAATCGGTCCAGACTCCAGAGACAGAAGTGAAGAACACTCTCATCTCTCGAACACATCGAATCGATGTCAAGAACAGGGAAATGCCCAAAATCCGTCCTCTATAACTAGAAATCCGTCCTCAAGAACAGGGAAATGCCCAAAAGTCGCCGCTAATACCGTTTAGCAGCGACTTATAGGGCTTTTGTGGCGACCTTTGTCGCCGCAATAAGTGTGATTTCTTGTAGTGCAAATGTACTTGGCCCAAATGTACAGATCAGGAGTTAGTCCATTCATTTTGTATTTTCATTTTGTATTCTTTCTGGGTCACTATAAAATAGTGAAGCCCATGTATGTAATAAACCAATGATACATTTTCTGATATACAGAGTAATTGGTTTCTCTCGAAGCTTCTGTTCTCAGTAAACATTGCGTAAAGCCTGGTTATCGATCTTCCTAGTTTCTCCTGCTTTCTCTTCATGTTAACATGGTATCAGAGCCGAGATCCGTCTAAATCTCGTGCTGAGGATTCGATTAATCTCACACTCATCCTCTATCGTTGGTTTTATGCACACTTCGTCCGTTTTTTTGATTTTGTGAAGATACGTGGTTTGGTAATGTTTTTCCGCTTGATTTTTCTCCAAAATTGTGTTCAACCATCTTCTCCAGTACATAGAAGCAGTGAATTTCATTTTCAAACGATTTCAAGGATTTCGACTGAAATTAGGGTTTTACTTGTATCGGAATTCTATGATGGTGTTTGATATTGAAGTGTTTTCCTGGTTGAAGGCCGTAACTCTTTCCGGTTGCGAAGGAGATTGGTAACATCAAGCCCATAATTCACTACTTCTTTGTATTTCTGCTTGCATGACCTAGGTTTTTCTATATAATTGATTGTCAATCTGATAACATGACCAACGGAACTCCTGATTCTTCTTCAACTCCTGCTATCTCTCGCACTGTTTTCCATGAGGATGATTATACTCATCCATGTCATCCTCTCTATGTGCACCCATCAGATGTTTTGGGGACCTCGTTGGTCTCCACTCCGTTTGATGGAACAGGATATGGAAGTTGCAGGCGCAATATTCTTGTCGCACTCTCAATTAGAAACAAACTAGATTTTATAAATGGAAACTCCCAGAAACCTTCACCTTCTTCACCTCTTGCTAGACAATGGCAAAGGTGTAATGACCTTGTCATTTCCTGGTTAGTAAACTCCTTGTCTAAAGAAATATCTCGCAGTGTGGAGTATTCAGAGTTTGCTCGGCAAATTTGGAATGAGTTAGAAGAAAGATATGGTAAGGCTGATGGTGTTAGAGTTTTCGAACTTAAGAAAGAGTTAGCAACATTTCCCAGGGATCTCTTGACATAGCCTTATTTTCAACAAAATCAAACAGTTATGGGATGAAATAGCTTCCATATCTACTGGTCGAACTAGGGTGTGTTCTTGTGGGGCTAAGTCTGCTGAAGATGAGGAACAGAGGGCTTATCAATTCTTAATGGGTTTAAATGATACGTATGTCCAAACCAGAAGCAATATTCTCATGATGAAACCACTTCCTTCAGTTGGAGCTGTCTATAGCATTCTGTTGTCTGATGAAACACAGAGCAATGTGTCTGCTGCAACTCAGTTTCCTTCTACTTCTGCCTCTTTTAATGTTGGAGTGTCCAGGCAGAGTTACCCTTCTAAAGTGAATTTTGAATCATCTAAACCAAATGTCACCTGCAAGTACTGTAAGAAACCTGGACATACTATAGAAAAATGCTACAAGGTCCATGGTTATCCCCCAAATTTCAAGTTCACCAAAACTCCTAACATTAGAAAGACTGCTGCACATGTTGAGCTCACCAACCACCCTGAATCTGGGACTGGTGACATTCCTGCTGAGCATGGTACCCTTCCACAGTCTGAAGACATGTCTGCTATCCCTGGGCTTACCAAGGATCAGTACTCTCAATTGATGATGTTGCTTCAACAGTCGCACTTGTCTTCTTCTCCATCTACCTCAAGCCTAATGGGGTCAGCCAATTTTGCTGGTAAGTTAATTCCCCCCCTGGTGTGTCTTATGGTGCATGTATGTTGACTAAAGTGGATGGTATAGTATGGATAATAGACTCTGGGGCCTCTGACCATATGACTTCCACAAAAAGCTTACTCTTTAATGTCCAAACCTTACCTGTTCCATACCTTGTCTCCCTTCCAAATGGTTATAAAGTCAAGGTTACCAATATTGGGTCATTGGCTCTATTGCCTGATTTGATCTTGCACAATGTACTTTATGTTCCTAGTTTTCAGTATAATCTCATTTCTGTCTACAAATTACTTTCTCATTCTGATGACATGGTACAGTTTACCAAGGCTGCTTGTACTTTACACGGCCCTTCAGTGAGGAAGCCAGTGGTACTTCGTAAACTGGACAATGGACTCTACAAGTTGTTCCAGTCTATCATTGCTCCTAATCCAGATTTCTTTTCTTCTAATCATTCTGCTCTTTCAAATGTTTCAGTTTCTAATTCTTCTGTTCATGCTAGTGTAGTTGATGAATGCTCACCTGTAAATACCATATCAGCTGTTGATAATATGAATAAAGATGAAGTTGTTTGGCATTATAGACTAGGGCACATATAAATAATGCAGATATAAAACTATATCTGCATTAAATTGTAAATTTCCTCTTAAACAATCCTTTAGATGTCCTGTTTGTCCATTATCTAGGCAAACAAGACTGCCTTTCTCTGATAGTAGTATACAATCTACTCACTCATTCCAATTAATTCACATAGATACTTGGGGACCTTATCACACACCCACCTACAATGCTTCCAAATATTTCTTGACAATTGTAGATGACTTCTCAAGGGCTACTTGGACCCATCTTATGGGATCCAAGAGTAATGCTTTAGATTTACTCAAGGCTTTCATTGCAATGGTTGAAACTCAATTCCATACTATGGTTCAGACTGTCAGAGTGATAATGCCTTAGAATTGGGCCCTACTGCTTCAGGTTCTATTTTCTTCTCTGAAAAAGGAATTCAACATCAGACTTCCTGTCCACACACTCCCCAACAGAATGGAGTGGTGGAAAGGAAGCACAGACATTTGCTTGAGACTGCTAGAGCCTTGTTATTTCAATCCCATCTTCCCATTAGATTCTGGGGTGACTGTGTTCTAACTGCAACCTACTTGATCAATAGGTTTCCATCCCCTCTCCTGAATCACAAAAGTCCTTATGAGTTGTTATATGGTTCTGTTCCCTCTTACTCTCATCTTAAAGCCTTTGGTTGTTTGTGTTACTCCACTGTAACTAAGTTGCATAAGGACAAATTTTCTCACAGATCCATCCCATGTGTATTTGTGGGTTATCCCTTTGCTAAGAAAGGCTATAAACTCTATAACCACATTTCCAAAACCTGTTTCATCTCTAGAGATGTCATTTTCTTAGAACACATCTTTCCATTCTTCAAGGCTTCTGATCAGCCTTCTCACATCTTTTCTTCTCCTCTATCCACTTGCTTTGATACTGAATGTTCTTTACCTCCTCCTCCTACTTCATCTTCTACTCCACCTCCTTCTTCCTCATCTATTGATCCTCCATCTCCTATTTTACATCCTGCTCCTACTCCCACTTCATCTCCCATTCCTTCACCTCCTGGTTCCAATACTTCTTTCCCTCCTGATCCTTCACCTGTTGATCATTCTATCCCTCTTTCTTCTTCTACATTACCTACTCTGAGAAGATCCTCTAGACCACATAACCCCCCTAGTTACCTCAATAGCTATGTTTGTCAGTCCTCATCCTCCAATTCCATCTCAGTCCACTCCACTGGTCAGTTTCATGTCCCAAAGCCAAATTCATACTCCTAGGCAGCCAATATTCCTGAGTGGCAAGATGCCATGAGGAAGGAATTTGAGGCTTTGGAAGCCAATGGGACTTGGGAAATTGTGGAGCAGCCACATGGCAAGAAGCCTATTGGGTGTAAATGGGTTTACAAAGTGAAATATAAGGCTGATGGTAGTATAGAGAGGTACAAGGCTAGGTTGGTGGTCAGGGGTGACACTCAAGTGGAAGGGGTTGACTTTCATGAAACATTCTTTCCTGTTGTAAAAATGTCCACTATTAAGACCTTAATTGTTGTGGCTATCAAGCAATAGTGGTCTTTGTTTTAACTTGATGTCAATAATGCCTTCTTGCATGGTGATCTTGATGAAGAGGTTTTTATGAAACTTCCTCCTGGTCTATCTGTTCCTGCTTCCACTTCTTCTCCTTCTTTGGTCTGCAAGCTCCAGAAATCCCTTTATGAATTGAGGCAAGCTTCCAGACAATGATATGCTAAGTTGTCTCAAGCTCTCTCTTCCAGAGGCTATATGCATTCTCTCAATGACTATTCTGTCTTCACTAAGGGATCTGGGGACTCTTTGGTTATATTGGCTGTTTATGTAGATGACATTATCCTAACTGGTACTGATTTATCAGAAATTTCTGCCCTGAAGAGTTTTCTCATGATCAGTTCAAGATCAAGGATTTGGGTCTCCTTAACTATTTTCTTGGTATTGAAGTTCTCTATACTCCCTCTGGGGTTCTATTGCATCAAAGGAAATTTATTCATAACCTTTTAGATGAGTTTCACTCTCTTGAATGTACTGCTGTCACATGCCCTCTTGAATTGAATGTGAAATTGAAGGCCAAGGAAGGTGAACTTTTGCCTAAACCTGAGGAGTATAGAAGTCTCATAGGCAAGCTGAATTTTTTGACCCATACAAGACCTGATCTCAGTTTTGCAGTCCAACATTTGAGCCAATTTATGCAGCAGCCTTGCATACCACATATGAAGGCTGCTCTTCATCTTCTCAGATATCTCAAAGGTTCAGCTGATTTTGGGATCTTTTACAACAATGATCCTGCTATGTCCTTACAGGTGTTCTGTGATAGTGACTGGGCCTCTTGCCCTGACAGTAGAAGTTCAGTTACTGGGTTCTGCATCTTCCTTGGAGGCAGCTTGGTGGGCTGGAAATCCAAGAAGCAACCTGTCGTTTCACTTTCCTCTGCAGAGGCTGAGTACAGAGCTATGAGTAAGGCTGTGGCTGAACTTACTTGGCTATCTAGGTTGTTGTCTGATTTTGGTGTAATCCTTTCCTCTCCTGTGCCTGTATTTTGTGATAGCCAAGCTGCCCTTCACATTGCAAAAAATCCTGTCTTTCAGAGAGGACAAAGCACATAGAACTGGATTGTCATTTTGTACGTGCCAAACTTAGAGATGGGCTGATATCTCTGGTTCACACTCCTAGTGCTTCACAGGCTTCTGATCTTCTTACCAAGGTTCTTCCTGGTCCTACTCACCACTTACACATTCGCAAGTTGGGGGTTTTGTCACCCTCCAACTTGAGGGGGGCTGTTAGAATTGGAAAATTAGATGCTGGTTAATAACTTTGGGCCTAGTAGATTTTTTTACTCTTTGTATTTATAGTTTGGCCCAAATGTACAGATCAGCAGTTAGTCCATTCATTTTGTATTTTCATTTTGTATTCTTTCCGGGTCACTATAAAATAGTGAAGCCCATGTATGTAATAAACCAATGATTCATTTTCTGATATACAGAGTAATTGGTTTCTCTCGAAGCTTCTGTTCTCAGTAAACATGGCGTAAAGCCTGGTTATTGATCTTCCTAGTTTCTCCTGCTTTCTCTTCATGTTAACATAAAGGAGAACAATTATATTTTTCAAAAATAAATAAATTATAGAGTAATTTTAATTGAGATGCAATAGCCCGTATAATTGAGAGAGTTTGGCAAAAATGGGAAGAGACTATTGGTGATGGAGGAGGAAAAAGAGGTAGACATTAGATTCTTGATACCGTATCAAACTAAAATCACAAGCTAGGTTTTGCTTAGTATAAAATCCTTTCATTCATATTCAATATACAAGAGTATAATAAGCTTTTATAATACAATTATACAAACTTATTGTTGAGAATTCAAGATGGACATATATTCTATAAAATAGCTATGTTCTGGTTGTAGATGAACATCCCGAGTATATATAAAGACTGTCCAACACATGCACTTAGAATCTTCACGTAATTGCCTTTGTTCTCTTTTTATTTTTTGGAGCTTACTATCTATCCTAATAGCGAAATTTTTCGCTGACCCACGGGTTTAGAAATAAGCTCTCACTAATTTTACTCTAATCTAGACATGATTTTTCCAAGCACATCATAGTAGTAAATAGAATTCAATTGTTGGCCATATAATTAAATAATTATGCACAGAATTAGAGAAACAAATAAAAGATGATAATTCGAACCAACAAATATATAATTAATAAACGTCAATATTCATGACAATCACAACTCTAGAAAATAGGGTGCTTAGCAACCCGCAGTTGTAGTAACAATCATACAAGTATTTTACATAAATAAATTATAAAATAATAAAAGATAAAGGAATGAAGAATTCAATGGTTATCACCTCCAAATTTGCTCCACTTGATGTTCTTGCCTCCAAATAATGTCCAACCCCCAAAAAGTAGGTTTAGAATCTTTTTTATACAGGTGGAGGCGTGTAGGGCCAAAATAACCCACTCCGAGTCGATATAGAGCAAAACCAATTGGGCGCTATGAGGGGCGCCTGCCGCCAAGCTGGGGGCCCACAATTTCCCACTTTTATGCTCTTGTAACGATCCAGTCGGTTGTTTTTAGAATTAACGCCCCGATCCCCTAATAACTGCTTCCCCCGTGCTTATTTCTGCTATTGTGAGTTGTCGGGAGGATTCGTTTTGAGTTTCAGAGTGTTTTGGGACACTTAGTCCTTAAATGAGAGCTTAAGCTTTAGAATTTGGACCGTAGTCGAAGCAGTATAAGGACGTCATCGGAATGGAATTCCGTCGATTCTGTTAGCCCCGTTGGGTGATTTCGGGCTTAGGGACGTGTTCGGATTGTATGTTGGAGGTCCGTAGCTTATTTAGCTTGAAATGCCGAAAGTTGAATTTTTGAAGTTTCCGATTCGATAGTGAGATTTTGATATCGGGGTCGGAATCCGATTCCAAGAGTTGGAATAACTCTGTAGTGTTGAATGTGACTTGTGTGCAAAATTTGGGGTCAATCGGACTTGGTTTGGTTGGTTTTAGCATCGGTTGTGGGATTCTTGAAATTTCAAGTTCTTTAGGTTTGGATTGGAGGGTGATTCGTGGTTTTAGCGTTGTTTGATGTGATTCGAGGGTTGGATTAAGTCCATATGATTTTAGAATTGGTTGGTATGTTTGGTTGAGGTCCCGGGGGCTCCAGGTGTGTTTCGGGTGAGTTTTGAGCGAGTCCGGACATTCCGGAGCTTAGAAAATGTATCTGATGATTAAATCTTCGCTGGGGGCAGAAGTCTTACCGCTGAGGCAGAAGTTTTTCTGCTAAGGCGGAGGTCTTACCGCTGGGGCGGAGGTTTTTCCGCGGTCTGCGGTCATGAAGAATCCGCAGGTCGTTGGTCCAACTTCGGAAACCTATATCTTTTGATCTACAAGGAATTTTGAGATGATTCAAAAACGAAAGTTGTAGCCCTTCGTGTCTAGTTTCCAGAAAGGTAAGAAATCATAATTTGGACATATGTAGAGAAAGTTATGGCCAAAGTACTAAGGCCTGTCTGTGCAGCCACCAGAAGCGCGACATCGATGGTTTTACCGCGGTCAGCGGTGACGGGAATCCGAGAGGTGCACAATAAATACGAGGTTTGGGGTTTTATTTCATGTTTTGACCTAAAGAGCTCGGGTTGTGGCGATTTTTTGAGAGATTTTCAAGAAAACCATCGGGGTAAGTGATTCTAACTCAAGCTAAAATACATGATTTTAACGTTGGATTCATCATTTGAGCAGAGATTTGGGGTGAAAATTTGGGAAAAATTGTGGAACTTCATAAAATGAATTTTTGGGATTTGAAAGCCGATTCGGAGTCGGAATTGAGTGAAACTAGTATGGGTAGTCTCGTAATTGAATGGGTATTCATAATTTGTGACTTTTACCCGATTTCGAGACGTGGGCCCGGGGAGGATTTTCGGGCGTTTTTCTATTTTCTAACCTTAGCTTCAATTCCTTTAGCTAAATTCATTGTTTGTAGTTATATTTACATTATGAAATATATTTGATTAGATTTGGGCCACTCGGAGTTGGGTACTCGTGGCAAGAGCGTGATATCAGATTGATTTTGAGCTGGTTCGAGGTAAGTGGCTTGCCTAACCTTGTGTGGGGGAACTCCCCTTAGGATTGGTATTGTTGTTATCTGAAATGTCTTGTACATGAGGTGACGAGTGCGTACATGTGCTAATTGTTGAAAATCCGGTTTTTTTCATTAATAACTATAATTGTGTATTTCTTCCCTGTTTACACTACTTGAAAGTTAAATCTACTGTTAGCTAGGGAAGCATGTCTAAATGACTCGATAATTTTACTTGCTCAAACTGCTTTTATCTGAATTCTGTGCAGCATGCTAGGTTAGAATTACCTGTTTACTTTGGTATGAAATTAGATTGAATTGGATATTGTTCGTGTTGTTGCTGTGTGTTTACTTTGGGACTACGGGCGATTTCCCGGTAGATCTCCCTTGCCTGTTTATTTGGGACTACGGATTGATATTCCGGTAGATCCCCCTGCACAGTTATATGGAACTACGTGACTGCACCTGGTAGATTCCCCCAGTACTGGGTATTTACATCTGGGGACTACGGATCGGTATTCCGGTATCTCCCCCGCGCACTATGAGTTGGACTATGGGAAGACACCCGGGAGATCCACTGGATATTTACATTTGGGGACTACAGGACGGTATCCTGGTAGATCCCCGGTTGCTATCTCTGTGTGAGGCTATATTCTTTTCTGTGATTTGTCTCTCTGTCGTAGTTGTTGTTATTCTTATTATATTGTGTTACTTCATACTGTTTCGTTTCCTTATATATATTTGTATATGACCGTTAGGGCCCTGGCCTTCCTCGTCACTACTCAACCGAGATTAGGCTTGGCACTTATTGAGTACCGATGTGGTGTACTCATGCCCTTCCTGCGCATGTTTTTCATGTGTAGATCCAGGTTCTTCGTCTCACCCATATCATCAGTGAGGCGAGGCGATCTTTAGAGACTTCGAGGTATATCTGCCGCGTCCGCAGACCGAGGAGTCCCTCTCTATTCTCTCTTCTAGCTTTAGCTCTCCTGTATTTACTTTTTGTTTAGACATTCTGGAGTTAGAGCACTTTGTAGTTATTCCATAGCTTGTGATTTCATGAGATTCTGGGTTTGGGAGTTGATTCAGTTTGAGAGTTTATATTTGTATATGCCGAGCGGCATCCTAAACGTTTTATTTATGTTTATTCCGCAGTTTTTGGTTAGTTTTATCTTCCGTTTCCTTTTTTCCGCAAATTGTTAGGCTTACCTAGTCGTAGAGACTAGGTGCCGTCACGACAGTTCACGGAGGGCAAACTCGGGTCGTGACAAGTTGGTATCAGAGCCGGGTTCATAGGAGTCATGAATCACAAGCCGGTTTATTAGAGTCTCGCAGATTGGTACGTAGACATCTGTACTTATCTACGAGAGGCTATGTAACTGTTAGGAAAATTCCACTTCATTTGACTTCTTTGTCGTACGAGATTTTTGACATCACAATTCTAAACCTCTGTCTTCCATTCTCTCACAGATGGTGAGGACACGTACTACCGGAGATGACCAGGCACCCGCGCCCCTTGCGAGAGCCGTCAGAGGTCGGGGCCGGGGTAGAGGCCGAGGACGCACACGCGGTGCAGCCAGAGTGCCCGCGCGAGCTGCTACATAGGAGCCACCAGCTGGAGCCCAGACGCCTTATACGCCTACTGCTACTACTACTCCAGCACTTCAGGAGACCTTAGCATAGTTCCTGAGCATGTTTGGTACATTGGTTCAGGCGGGGTTGATTCGGGTTGTACCAACAACTTCACAGATCGGGAGAGGGACCTAGACTCCCGTCGCCCCCACTCTAGCGCAGCGAGTTCACATTGGTCAGGTTCCAGGTGTCATGGCGACACAGCCTATGGCCTCATTTCAGCAGGTGGAAAGGGCCGATCGCCGGGTAGAGGACAGATGGGTCCGGGAGAGAGAGGACAGACGAGGTCAGGAGAGAGAGTATAGGGAGGCGAGGAGACCTTTTAGACCGGAGAGATCCACCGGTCTTTATTTTGGAGGAAGAGTACGGCATGGTAGAGGTTTTGTAGGTCAGCCA